GCATCATTGTCATAAATGCATAGACCCGGCTGAGCCTACATACTATATATTTAGTCCAGCACAAACCATCATCCTAAGTGTCGTACACTTCGAATGACACTATTACCCAATGAAACGATAGGTCTTAGCTGAGCTAGAGAGCACTACCATGTAGAAGGGATTTAAGCACCACCGACGATGGGAGACAATCAAACGCGCTAAATAATTTTTAGTGAGGGTTCTTATCCGGTCTCATCTTTAATTATTTATTTTCTCTTACATGCATAATTAGACATACAAACTAACTATCGTATAGTTCATTTTAAACAGCTTATCTTATCATAAATACTAGTATATTACAACTTATACATAGAAATTAACAATATAAATTTAAATCGAGATAAAAACAATCAGATTTACCAAAAAGGAATTTAAAATTTAAAATTTAAACCATACATTCGAAGCACCATGACCATCCATGTATCATGTACCTACATGAAAGGTTAGAAACAAACACGCAAACAATTTGCAAATCCTAAATAACCATTGAATCACCTATAAGAAGAACATCAACTTTTGATGATTAGGCAAAATTATGAATCAAGATTAAAACTTTATCATGCATAGGGGCTGCCATGCCTACCTTAGGTTATGGCTAGGGTTTGGTGGCCTTATCCACCAAGGTTGCAGCTTTACCGAGTCTAACTAGGGTTTGGTCCCCACCTCCCATCCCCTAAAACCCATGGCTGCCACCCTTGTCACTATAAGGTGGCGGTTTTCGCATGAAAGACCGAATCTTTATGCATGAAAAGAACTATACTTTCATAAAGATATCATTTTTAAGAATCAAGATTCATGAAAGAATGTAGGTTTTAAAACTCTTTTTTGAAAATTCAATGAAAACAACCCCACGAGTTTACGGTAACGAGCAAGGCTTTGATACCACGTGAAAGTTAAAATTTGTGTCGCTTGACATTCAAGCAACATGCTCATGAGGGTGAAAAACAAAAAAAAAATTCAATCTTTGTTAATCTTTGCGGAACCCGTAAATCGTTTACGGTCCTCAAGAGTGCCTCAGGATCTACCCGTTAAAACACAAAAGGTTTAGGATTACCTTTGATCACTTGAAGACCTCAAAGTGTATGATGTAACAACCTGTTGTACATCGGTATTGTTAACATTGATTATGATATTAAGCGTAGTTACAATAACAGAAGTTTATTTAAAAATACGAGTAAACTTTTTCCTTTTCATTACGTACGCATTTGAAAATAACATAAAATGGAATGATACAAACTGTGATCGTAACAGAATTCTAAATGCGGAAGTAATAATCTAATTGCCTAATTATCATACAACATATATTTGAAGTAGCTAAGAGGTTCCCAAAAACCAACTTAGCATAAAACTCACTTTTACAATTTTTCTAATACTGAACACGCTTTTGTTTTCTCAACACTGGACGTGACACACTTATCGTTAATTTCTCTTCTTTTAGTATGTTAAAATAGACTCTTTTAGCTTTCCAATAATGTATCACACGCCTCATTTGGAGTTCTCTTTTAGCTCTAAATGGCACCAAATTTTGGGACAACATAGCTGACATCTTAAGGTTTAAAATGGAGTATGGAACATCCTATTTGGACATTTTTGGAGGGAGATATGGTCTCCCAAAGTTGGCCTAAAAAATGATCAATTCATAGAAATTTCGATGGCATCTCCTTTGTTTTCTTAACTGATCCCACATATCAAAGTGTGTTCTAAACCATCAAATTGTACCTAATTGACAAGGTGGATCAATAAAACTCGGTGCTATTACAACCCTCAACATATTTGCATCGTTTCTCATTTAATTTATAATCCATTACTTAATCCATTTACAACTTATTACTCATTTCAATCACATAATTCAATTACATGCATTTGACATCATTAGACAATATCATAATCTAAAATAGGCTTATGGCCCTTCCATCACATACATACATCATTACTTGACACAAGATCCATGCTTCTTTAATTACATTTATCCATCACAAATATAACTACTACATCAAAAGGCTTGAAATGGCAATAATTACATCTATACTAGACTTGCCAAAATAATGCTATATGAACAAGAACACGGATGGTATACATAACTCATGCTATACACAATGTTCATGCACTAAGTCTAACCTATCAAATACATTCCAAAATGCAAAATGACATATATAATCATGCATTCAAACATGTGCTCCTCATCCTCAACCTGTGAGCCTCTTGCTCAAGACTTCAGCACCGCTACATCCACCTGAATAGCCCCATAACGCGGGGTGAGATATAAGAATATATCTTAGTAATCCAAAGGTTCTGGAGGATCACTCCACCCAATTGCTCTCACTCAGATGTAAAATGACAATAATGAAACTATACACATACCATACAAAATCACATGGCCCAATGGCCTACGACATACGACATACGGCATATCAATCTGGCTCTCATCCAAGAATGTATCTAAAACACCTCATAGATTTAAAACACTTAATTATAGTTAAAATAAGGATTTAAGGGTAGGAGTAGTGGAAATCCTGAGTTCTGGGTCAAAATACGTAAAAAGAGAGTAAAACGATAATTTGAAAAACAAGTAACCCTAAATACTAAAATATTAGTATAAAGTCTCAAATGAAAAAACTAACCCTGGAAATGGATTCAGAATGAAAAATTGCGTGGTTAGACAAGTTTCTAGAAATTTGATTAATAGTGTTTTTATCGGGTAAATATACAGTTGTGCAGTTGCACCGAAAAACGTGCTAGTGAAATTTGAGTTCTAGGTTTGAATATAAGTTGGAAAAGGTACATAGGACTAAGAATTATGATTACTAATGAAATTTGACAAAAATTAGGGCTTTTGGAAAAACATGCCAACGGTGCACATATCAGGCTAAAATAGTAATCTCGCCAAATAATCGAAAAACTCTGAATTCATCTGTTCAAGCGTAATTAAAGGACTTTGGTGAATGTTAAAATTTTGATTATATGGATGATTCATGGATTAAGTGGAGAGTAGTGTGTTGAATGACTAGTTTAAGTGATGGTAAATTGGTAAATTCACATGTGGGACCTGCCCCCACTTAAGTGAGCATTTGAGCACATGTGAAATTAGATTTTCACTCATCTTCCTCCCTCATTCTCTCTCCAAAATCGAGTTCCCCTCTTCCTCAATGGATATTTTTAACTTGAAAACTTCAAACAACAATATCTTGAGTTATACTTAATGAAATCAAACGATTTCAAAGCCAAACTTGTGTAAAATCTTGAGAGGAACACAATGCTACCCTTAGCTTTGCATGGGTATCATGTGGAGAGAGATCATTGGCCAAAAAGGTGACGACTTTGAAGATTTTTAGGGTCATTGATGGTGGTTTGAGTTGCATTCGTGCTCAAATATCACTCTTTGGAGGCTTGTGAGTCCATTTGGGATAAGTATTCCCAATTTCATTGAGTTTTGTTGATGATTTGAAAATGAGTATGAAATTTGAATATGTGTTGGTGAGTTTGGGTAGTTGGAGACCTCAAATTGAATTTGTGCATTCGACAAATATTGCTTAGAATGATGAATTAGAGTGATTGAGATCATAAAATTTATTATGAAAAAGTTTGTAACTTAGTGGATTTTGGATGATGATCTTAAGACTTTGCGAAATTGGATTTTTGTGTGATTGGAAAATTAAGTTATGGATTAGTTTTAGTAGCTTTACCGAGTCTAACTAGGGTTTGGTCCCCACCTCCCATCCCCTAAAACCCATGGCTGCCACCCTTGTCACTATAAGGTGGCGGTTTTCGCATGAAAGACCGAATCTTTATGCATGAAAAGAACTATACTTTCATAAAGATATCATTTTTAAGAATCAAGATTCATGAAAGAATGTAGGTTTTAAAACTCTTTTTTGAAAATTCAATGAAAACAACCCCACGAGTTTACGGTAACGAGCAAGGCTTTGATACCACGTGAAAGTTAAAATTTGTGTCGCTTGACATTCAAGCAACATGCTCATGAGGGTGAAAAACAAAAAAAAAATTCAATCTTTGTTAATCTTTGCGGAACCCGTAAATCGTTTACGGTCCTCAAGAGTGCCTCAGGATCTACCCGTTAAAACACAAAAGGTTTAGGATTACCTTTGATCACTTGAAGACCTCAAAGTGTATGATGTAACAACCTGTTGTACATCGGTATTGTTAACATTGATTATGATATTAAGCGTAGTTACAATAACAGAAGTTTATTTAAAAATACGAGTAAACTTTTTCCTTTTCATTACGTACGCATTTGAAAATAACATAAAATGGAATGATACAAACTGTGATCGTAACAGAATTCTAAATGCGGAAGTAATAATCTAATTGCCTAATTATCATACAACATATATTTGAAGTAGCTAAGAGGTTCCCAAAAACCAACTTAGCATAAAACTCACTTTTACAATTTTTCTAATACTGAACACGCTTTTGTTTTCTCAACACTGGACGTGACACACTTATCGTTAATTTCTCTTCTTTTAGTATGTTAAAATAGACTCTTTTAGCTTTCCAATAATGTATCACACGCCTCATTTGGAGTTCTCTTTTAGCTCTAAATGGCACCAAATTTTGGGACAACATAGCTGACATCTTAAGGTTTAAAATGGAGTATGGAACATCCTATTTGGACATTTTTGGAGGGAGATATGGTCTCCCAAAGTTGGCCTAAAAAATGATCAATTCATAGAAATTTCGATGGCATCTCCTTTGTTTTCTTAACTGATCCCACATATCAAAGTGTGTTCTAAACCATCAAATTGTACCTAATTGACAAGGTGGATCAATAAAACTCGGTGCTATTACAACCCTCAACATATTTGCATCGTTTCTCATTTAATTTATAATCCATTACTTAATCCATTTACAACTTATTACTCATTTCAATCACATAATTCAATTACATGCATTTGACATCATTAGACAATATCATAATCTAAAATAGGCTTATGGCCCTTCCATCACATACATACATCATTACTTGACACAAGATCCATGCTTCTTTAATTACATTTATCCATCACAAATATAACTACTACATCAAAAGGCTTGAAATGGCAATAATTACATCTATACTAGACTTGCCAAAATAATGCTATATGAACAAGAACACGGATGGTATACATAACTCATGCTATACACAATGTTCATGCACTAAGTCTAACCTATCAAATACATTCCAAAATGCAAAATGACATATATAATCATGCATTCAAACATGTGCTCCTCATCCTCAACCTGTGAGCCTCTTGCTCAAGACTTCAGCACCGCTACATCCACCTGAATAGCCCCATAACGCGGGGTGAGATATAAGAATATATCTTAGTAATCCAAAGGTTCTGGAGGATCACTCCACCCAATTGCTCTCACTCAGATGTAAAATGACAATAATGAAACTATACACATACCATACAAAATCACATGGCCCAATGGCCTACGACATACGACATACGGCATATCAATCTGGCTCTCATCCAAGAATGTATCTAAAACACCTCATAGATTTAAAACACTTAATTATAGTTAAAATAAGGATTTAAGGGTAGGAGTAGTGGAAATCCTGAGTTCTGGGTCAAAATACGTAAAAAGAGAGTAAAACGATAATTTGAAAAACAAGTAACCCTAAATACTAAAATATTAGTATAAAGTCTCAAATGAAAAAACTAACCCTGGAAATGGATTCAGAATGAAAAATTGCGTGGTTAGACAAGTTTCTAGAAATTTGATTAATAGTGTTTTTATCGGGTAAATATACAGTTGTGCAGTTGCACCGAAAAACGTGCTAGTGAAATTTGAGTTCTAGGTTTGAATATAAGTTGGAAAAGGTACATAGGACTAAGAATTATGATTACTAATGAAATTTGACAAAAATTAGGGCTTTTGGAAAAACATGCCAACGGTGCACATATCAGGCTAAAATAGTAATCTCGCCAAATAATCGAAAAACTCTGAATTCATCTGTTCAAGCGTAATTAAAGGACTTTGGTGAATGTTAAAATTTTGATTATATGGATGATTCATGGATTAAGTGGAGAGTAGTGTGTTGAATGACTAGTTTAAGTGATGGTAAATTGGTAAATTCACATGTGGGACCTGCCCCCACTTAAGTGAGCATTTGAGCACATGTGAAATTAGATTTTCACTCATCTTCCTCCCTCATTCTCTCTCCAAAATCGAGTTCCCCTCTTCCTCAATGGATATTTTTAACTTGAAAACTTCAAACAACAATATCTTGAGTTATACTTAATGAAATCAAACGATTTCAAAGCCAAACTTGTGTAAAATCTTGAGAGGAACACAATGCTACCCTTAGCTTTGCATGGGTATCATGTGGAGAGAGATCATTGGCCAAAAAGGTGACGACTTTGAAGATTTTTAGGGTCATTGATGGTGGTTTGAGTTGCATTCGTGCTCAAATATCACTCTTTGGAGGCTTGTGAGTCCATTTGGGATAAGTATTCCCAATTTCATTGAGTTTTGTTGATGATTTGAAAATGAGTATGAAATTTGAATATGTGTTGGTGAGTTTGGGTAGTTGGAGACCTCAAATTGAATTTGTGCATTCGACAAATATTGCTTAGAATGATGAATTAGAGTGATTGAGATCATAAAATTTATTATGAAAAAGTTTGTAACTTAGTGGATTTTGGATGATGATCTTAAGACTTTGCGAAATTGGATTTTTGTGTGATTGGAAAATTAAGTTATGGATTAGTTTTAGTAGTTAATTACAAGGTGTATGGTGTATTTAAAGTGTGAAAATCAATTGAAAATCTCTTGGTACCCTTGAATGTGCATTTCGGCCAAGTAGGGAAAAATAGGAAAGGATGATGCAAAAATTATATAATTGGACTTGTGATGTTTTGAATCATTAATTATAAATGGATTGTATGACTGTGTGATGCTTGTTGTTTGAGAGAAAAATCTCTTGCCTTAGGAGGAGTTTGGATTCCACCATATAAGGTGTTTGGTGTGAAAATGTGCAATGGAATGTTTGGATTGAAGAATTGAGTTAGTAGGTATTTGAATAAACTAGTGTAGGTCTAAATGAGTGCCTTAAACCTTGAGAATGTAAGAAAAATCCCTAGTCACTTAGGTGACAACCATTCGGCCATATTGGGAATTCTTGGAGAAAATTATGCTAAGTGTGAATTGGTACAATTGTGGGATGGTTATGGTAATGTGATTGGCTAAGGAAACCATTGGGATGGTTGCATAAAATTAATAACATGATTAAGGTATTTTGGCCACAATGGCCGAAGCATAAACATTGGTGGTGAGTAATGCATTGTCTTGAAATATTGACTTGTGTAACAAGTGGATTGATGATCATGTGTTGTGATCATTGTAGGTGGAGCTTGTGGATTGCCTTTGGTCCTTGACCAAAAGGATATTGACATTTCTTTGTTGAAGAAATTTACGAGGTAACTTGTGATTGAAGCAACCTAGCTTGGGAGCTTCAAAAAGGTAATCTCTTAGTATTGGGGTTAATCCCTGCGTGTGCTCCACCATGCCCATTGGGGTAGTAGTTGGAAGTTGTTTGATTCAATAGTGTGATTATAACATGTTCATGCATTTGTGGATGTTGGGTACATAGAGTTGTATCGTATCTCTGGCCAGTAGATAGTTGTCGTATGGCGTTGGAGACTTTCACTGGAGAGGCCTCCGTAGGGAGTTTGATATGAATAAGGAGTTACGAGTTAGAATATGTTGTGTTTGACAAGAAGTTATACGTCCCTGATAGATGGTGCACACTTGAAGGAATTAGAATGGTTATGTAGAGAAACAAATGGAATAATTGATGTATAATCCTAAGGGATTTAAAAACTTGAAATTATTATGTTAAGGAAGTGTTGATTTGAGAGATATTGAATTATGGGATTAAAATCCATCAGGAGTTAGTGTTGAGTAAACATAAGTGAGAGGAAATAACTATGTAGTATGAGTAAAAGGAAGAAATTGAGAATATCGTCATGGATGACATAAGATAGATGTACGATGAAGGCACTATTGTAATTAATGAATGTCGATTCAATTTGGCAAACGTGCCTGGGATAAAGGAATAGTACGATTAAATTGTATAGTCAGGTGTAAGAAAGTAGTGAGAATTGTAAAGAGATTATGATCTAGTGTTCTGTATATATATATACTAATAGTAGTGAGCTGGTGAAATCATTGGTATTTGATATGGATTGACAGACCAATGTGGAGGTATTTTAATGTAAGAAATATTCTACAACCACCAAGGGTGGAAGTGATAAGGAAAATTGAAGGATTGTTATGTAATATTGAGTATGGAATTATGTGTTTAACAAAGAGCTAATGTGTAATGTCAAAACAAAAATGATAAGATTAGTTAATGAGTTGAGGTATAAGTGTCAGTGCAAGGATTGAGGTGAAATTAGTCCTCTGTGATAGGACGGATATGTTTAGAAGATCCCTGTATGATGGGAAGTATATGTGGGAAATATGATACTTATATTAAGAGATGTGAGATGTGTACAGAACTTTGAGAAGATTTAAGATTCATGGAATAGAAATTATGTTATGAACCATGCCAAGTGAATAGTCAAAGTAAAAGAGTAAGCAATCTGTGATAAGAGTAAGCAAGGAAGAGATAATGAACTATGGATTTGAACGGTAACATGACAGAAGGAACTATTAAGAGTTAAAAGAAGTGTATGAAATTACAAAGAGAATATGAATTATTATAATAGTGGCTGTTATAAACCAGGTCCGGCGGTTAACCACAACGAAAGTAAACTATCAGTGAGAAGAATTAAACGAGAGAGTAAAATGAATTGACTTATATGTAACAGGAGTATATTATACCACTACTACTAATATTATTGGGGGTAGTCCCATGTGAATATACCAAAGATATTTTGCTGTTATATACAGAGGTGATACAGGCACCAAATGGACTGGGTCCATGTGTGATCTGGAGTGTACGGAGTACCAGTTTTGCCGTTATATACGGATGTTATAAGTATGGATTCCCCTGTGTACTGGGTACACGTTTGCTGTTATATACAAGTGTGTTATAAATATGAATTCCTCTGTGTACTGGGTGCACGTTATAAGACTTGATATTACTATCTCTGTGCGGCCTATGTGCCCAGAGTGAATAGCTATCTCTATGCGGATTATGTTCCCGGAGACTATTAGTACTTGGTAGAAGTAATATGAGACGAGGAAGTGTTCCGCATTGATGTAACTGTTAGTGCAGTAGAGATATTTGATATAAATGCACAAAGAAGAAACATATGGGGGATGCCCCTTGAATAAGGACAGCTAGTGGTAAGTTATTATTACGGCAGGGATCATATGGGTGGATTCTCTGATCGGTGGGTCATTACATCTGGGGCCCTGAGGACAGCAAGAGCTTGAGAGGTTAAACCTGTGAATGTTGCTACCCACTATATTGAGAGAGTTCTTACATGTGATTAACGCAAAATGTGAGGTCAGATATTTGTAAATGAACAATAATAGATTTGGATATAAGAGGTGAGGCATAATGTGTAAGAATTTAGAAGTGTGATAGTGAAGCACTATTGTGAGTGTAAAGTAAGTTTGATGAGATAATTTCGGCTGCAAGTGAGGTAGTAAGTTTGTTGGGATTCTCGCCTTATGATAAAAGAGATAATAGTGTGATTTAATATTGACAGATGGAGTAAGTGTCCTTCTAGGAAGGCTGGCGATGATCAAGAGTTCAGGTTAAAACGGTGAATTATTAGTCCTTATAGAGGGTAAACTGTGTGGAAAATGCACAATGTTGATGTTGTTTTGGTTAAGTACTAATGAGGTATGGCCGAGTGTTTTGGAATATTCCGAGAGATTGGTATACCAACCAATGGTGAATGGTAGAAGTAGTGGCAATGATGGATATAGTTTTATGTGACTTGACAATTAAGTTTCAAAGATTCCTATAAGATGTGACTTGTATGTGAGAGATATGGCATTTTGAGTGGTCCATCAGTTAATAGTGAAATGGGTTTGGAAGTTGATTCGTTCCAAGGTGTTTGGTGGAAGTTAGTAAAACTGTAAGGTGATAGCGTTTTGAGTTTGACATCCAGGATTAAATGACGATGATTACGAAAAAGTAGTATAAATAAGTGGAACATATGGTTAAGTTGCAACATCGGAGAGGAATGAAAGATGAAAATAATTAGTGGGAGAAAATATTAAGCATGAGGCCTTGATGTGGAGGTCTTTGATGAGTGTTGTGTTTAGACTGAGAGAGGTCTAAGTATGGAGTTGAGCTAACTGAGTCGATAAAG